GATGGTCAAAGGGCTAGAAGTCACGTCTACTCACATGGTACGCCTGGTCGTATACTGTGTGTGTGCTTGCAGCGTGTTCGTTTACCCTTTGATACGCAGATGGGGCATAGGGGATGAGCGCGTTTCCCGGATCCTTTCTCCATTAACGGATAGGTAAATACCACAGACAAGGGAAGATTGAAACGAGGCATTGGAATGACGCTCGCACAAGAGAATAGATCAGATGCTCACCTTAGATAAACGACTTTGAGAAAGAGACATCGTTTGGAGCAGGTCGCATAAATCTATGTAATCCTGGAGCAATGATGAGATGTAGATAAAATCATATATCATAGATATGTCAACGCACTGGAGCTCTGTGTTCGTGCCCATACTTTGAGATTGTGGTGATGGGGCTAGTAGCTGGGCTCATGTCGATGTCCATGATAAAGATGATGTAGTTCAGATAGACAGGAGTTGCGAGAAGTGTCGTAAACCGGATTCGGATTCGGATAACGGATGTGAGATGCTTGACTTGGAAGTCAATGCGCGCTAATCGTGCTGATTATTCTACTGAAATCCGAGTGCGAGTAGTATGTGGTGATGGAACAAAAGACAAAGAGGTCACTCTATGCTATATGTACCCGCCATACAGTAGCATCGAAGCGACATGCGGAATCGAGTCAGCGGACATGTTCTTGCCTCGTGTATCACGCGCGCGTAGAACAAACTTGGAAAGAAAGATGTTAATGGCTGCGAATCGCAGGCTGCTTAGGCTTGGGGTAATGAGATACGTCCTTTCTTGGATAGATGGGGGCGGATGCCTCGAGGTAAGCTGTGATACATGCTTTGACGGTCTGTCAAGAAAGATAAAAACGTAGCATTTGGCCTCTGTCACGATGTCATTACAAGCGGCCAGCTAACCAATTGTGGTATTTAACTCGGAATACTCCGACAGTGACTTGTCAGTGCTGCTCAATTCTATTAGTTCAGTGACTGCCAACCATAGGTACCTGCGCTCCTTGTCACTATCAGCCATATCGTCCAAATCAATCACCACTTCTCCTACTGACGAACACTGCGTTGGAGGCACGGTCTATATGTCGATGCCGATCGAAGAGGAGAAACTTGCTATCCTATATGATCTGATCCGAGTCAGCGTCAGTAAACTTGCCGCTTCAATAGTACGACTGGCATCTTGG